TGCCAGGGCGGGAAGACAAAAACCCAGGAGATATGGCAATATATGGAATCTTTTTCCGGAAAGGGCATGGCCTGGGTTCTCTTTTAGTAGGTAAACCTGTCCCCCGGTGCCAACTTGAAGGAGGCCGGCGAATTTTTTCCCTGATAAATAACGAGGTCGAAGGAGGCCGGCGAATTAAAATTTGAGGATGTCTCGAGCGAAACGCTTGTTTTTGAAATCCCGATCGATAAATCACAGGGTGCGGGCCACTTTTTCGTGTGTTGAGGATGTCTCGAGCGAAACGCTTGCTCCGCAGAGTTTGCCGAGGATGTCTCGAGCGAAACGCTTGTTTTGCAGAGCCGACCGCGACGCGGAAAAGCGCCCCGCGCGAAGGAATTTCGATGATGTCTCGACTAATTCGTTTGCTTTTGTACGATTTCCTGGAATTTTGGCAGGATGTCTCGAGCGAAATGCACGACCCCACCCCAGCACGACCACACCCCACGCACGACCACACCCCAGCACGACCACCCCAGCACGACCCCACCCAGCACGACCCCACCCCAGCACGACCATACCCCAGCACGCAGCACGACCCGACCCCAGCACGACCCTACCCCAGCAAGACCACACCCCAGCACGACCACACCCCAGCACGACCTCACCACAGCACGACCCACACCCCAGCACGACCACGCCCCAGCACGACCACGCCCCAGCACGACCACAGCCACCAGCACGACCACCCCCCCAGCACGACCACACCCCCAGCACGCACACACCCCCCCAGCACGACCACACCCCAGCACGACCACTCCCCAGCACGACCACACCCCAGCACGACCACACCCCAGCACGACCACACCCCAGCACGACCCGATCGATAAATCACAGGGTGCGGAGCACCCCAGCACGAACCCACCCCAGCACGACCCCACCCCAGCACGACCCCACCCCAGCACGACCACGCCCCAGCATGACCACACCCCAGCACGACCACCCCCAGCACGACCACTCCCCAGCACGACCCCACCCCAGCACGACCCCACCCTAGCACGACCACACCCCAGCACGACCACACCCCAGCACGACCCCACCCCAGCACGATCACACCCCAGCACGACCCCACCCCAGCAAGACCACACCCCAGCACGACCGCACCCCAGCACGACCTTACCACAGCACGACCACACCCCAGCACGACCACGCCCCAGCACGACCACGCCCCAGCACGACCACGCCCCAGCACGACCACGCCCCAGCACGACCACGCCCCAGCACGACCACCCCCCAGCACGACCACCCCCCCAGCACGACCACCCCCAGCACGACCACCCCCAGCACGACCACACCCCAGCACGACCACTCCCCAGCACGACCACACCGCCTTGGTTGAGTGGTTGCCTGTCGTCGTGGAATGTTTCGTGGGGTGTCTCGTGGAATGTTTCGTGGGGTGTCTCGTGGAATGTTTCGCGGGGTGTCTCGTGAAATGTTTCGTGAGGTGTCTCGTGGAATGTTTCGTGAGGTGTCTCGTGGGCTGTTTCGTGAGGTGTCTCGTGGGATGTTTCGTGAGGTGTTGCCCAGTTGGGTATCATGAAAACGTGTCCATGCTCCACATGTCTATATCCCTTTCCGGGTTCGTGGGTCCATCATGTTATTCGTGTGTACTTATTTGTGTGTCCTTGGGCCCCTTGACTTCCGCTCCCCCCGCCCCTCGAGGTGCTTCTGCCCTCAGAATGATGACGTGGGCGAGCTGCAGGCTCGGCGCGGCCGCCGCCCGCTCCGCGCTCGCTCCGCGCCCCCCGGGGGCAGCCGCTCGGGGCCCTGCGCGGCGAGCGCGCCTACCATGAGGAGGAGGAGGAGGAGGAGGAGGAGGAGGAGGAGGAGGAGGAGGAGGAGGAGGAGGAGGAGGGGAGGAGGAGGAGGAGGAGGAGGAGGAGGAGGAGGAGAGGAGGAGGAGCAGGAGCAGGAGCAGGAGGAGGAGGAGGAGGAGGAGGAGGATGATGAGGAGGAGGAGGAGGAGGAGGAGGAGGAGGAGGAGGAGAGGAGGGAGGGAGGAGGAGGAGGGAGGAGGGAGGAGGAGGAGGGAGGAGGGATGAGGGCCACTGAGAGCGCGTCCGAGTCGAACACGCCTCAGGAACAAATGAAAACCCTGAGGGGGCCGCGTAGCGGCTGAATATTATGAACTGAGAGGGCGACCGAAGGCCAGGGAAAACCGACGCCGAGAAACCACTCCCAGGAAAGCAAAACGAGTTACGACTACGTCTTGCCCTCGGGTCGCTTTGAGCGCCAAGGACGGCCGTGGAAGATCCTATCGATCAACCCCAGCTGGTTGGCACGAGTGCTCGGATTGAGAGCCCCAAGCGCGCACGGCGGAGCTTCCGAACGCTCCGAGCCGTCTCGAGGGTCGTGGTGCCTGCACACTTACGGCAGCAGTACACCGAATTAACACAGAACACGTCGTGGCCCAATTCAGCGAATTCCGCTATGAGCTCAGCCGACCCGAAATATTTGAAGCTTCGCCAGGCTCCTGCAGCTGGGGAGGGTCCACGGGTCCAGGAGCGGGTTCCCGCGGGGCCCGACTAGGGCCGTCTCTCAAGAAATCATCGGCGAGCTCCTGAGAGGGCGTGAGGCGAGGGTCCGACAACCTGACCCAAACCTCCTTCGAATTCCTAACCCACTCTGAACAGGCAAGGCGCTGAATAGCCGAAGGCTCACATTTCCTGCCTGACCCCGTGCGAAGCCACGCCAACGTCGTATCCGAACGAGCCGACCTCCCGCAACTCCTGCAGCGGTGTTCCCTAAGCCTCCTGCACCACCAGAGCTCGTGATCAGACTCTCGACAGAAGACGACGAGCTTGCCCAGAACCCCACGAAGGGGATCCCGAACCGACGGAGCAGGCCCACGACCCCAACTCTCTGAGACGATAACTCGAAGGCAGGCCCAGGAGACGAACCGGAGTGTCGCTCTGTGGATTTGCAAGGCCTCCGCGAGCGACTCGGTCACCGTACTGGCGATCACATGGCGCGCCGCTCCTGCCTTGGCAACATAATCGGCCCAGGCGTTGCCGAGCCAGTGTTCCAATTCTCGCGGGTCGTCCAGCACACTGTCGGGATCACGATGCGCTGTGGTCCACTCGAACTGCAGTGGCCGCCCATCAGCTCATCGCTGGGCGGCCTGAAAAAAATTCACGCCAGATCCTGGCATGCTTCGAGCGGCCGTGCTGAAGAGAATCTGCCCACGACTGGCCCTCCACCGCCAGCCCAGGAGATCCGAGACAAACAATTCATGATCAGGATTAACTTCTAAACCCATCTTGATAGCATATCTCTCAGCACGGCCGACAGTCTGCACATAGTAAGGCAACGGCCCGAAGACGGCACGGATCGGCAGCAGCGACTGCGGGTCGAGCTGGATGCACGAGTGGCCGCACCGCCGAGCCTCTGGAACACTAGAAGCGAGACCCGATCCATCTGTGAAACTCTTGGGGCCCCAACGGCCCTCGGTGTCGCCCCATCTGAGGACCTCGGAGCTAATGGTGTCCAGGCCTGGAATACCCAGGGGAGGTCCAGGAACCCCGAAGAACAAGTCGTTAGACTCCCAAGACAGGCCTCCCTCTTGTAGCTGACCCCCTTTCAAAAGCATACCTCTGGTTGCCTCCAAGTACTCCGAAACGTCCAATAAGTCCTGGCGCTGCTCGAGCAGCACGGGGCAATCGTAGAGCACGTGTCCCCACACTCCCTGAGACTGGGCCCCACAAGCGACACATGGCCTGATGGGGACCTTCTGACGAGCATCCTGGAATTGAGGTATGGGGAGGTTTCCCGACCAGTGCGCTTGGAGGGCCCCTAAACGGCGAACGCACTTGATACCTGCCAGAGAATTCCTCAAGCCTCGATGCCAGACCTGATCCACGGTCTCCGCGGTGTAACATGCTTGAGCAACCGCTCGTCCTGCCAACGCTGGATCCCCTGAGTGAGGAAAACCTCAGATCGGCAAGGCACAGCACACGAAGATCGAACACGTTACTTAAGTCATCAGCCACCATATGACTAGCCACCAGGTTCCAACCTAGACGTCGTAGCGTCATCCAGCAGGCCCTCATCGGGCCCCGAGTAGAAGCCCAAGACATCGTACCGACCTTGTCTCTGAGAGCTTCCCAAGCCCGATGCAAACGACTATCCGATATGCGACCGTCCCAGACCCACTCAGCAAACTTTAGAACGACGGCGAGTGTAGCATGATATAGGGTCGTAGAACTCATTCTTGTGGCTGACCAAATAGGCTGTGACACTGGTGCTCGACCTGCTTGGCGCGCCGTTCAAGACGGCGGCAAAAAGACGCAGCTCACGAAGTGCAACATCACTGACTCCAGCGACTGCAGCACCATGCGCCGCTGAAGGAAGGGCGCCCGTGCGCAACAGTGCAGCCTTGAGCATCGAGAAGCGAGCCTTGAGCATCGAGAAGCGAGCCTTGCGCTCTCGGAGGCGCTTCAGACGTTGCTTCTACATGCCTCTAATGACCCTTGGCCCCGTGAGCTCGTGACCCAGGTTCCTCATGTGCCCTTTGTACGGGATCTTCATGGAGCCCATGTGGAACTGCACCCCTTTCCAGAACTTCCGAGAACCAGCAGCAGCCCCAGACTTCGACGCCTTCAAGACCATGCCGAGTCCCTTCGAGTCCTGGATGAAGCCTCTAGCAGCTAATGCAAGAAACCCGGCCTCTTTGGGATCTTCGGAGATACTCTGGAGCCCAATGTCATCCATGAGCGTTCTCGGGGTAACAGTAGGAGACACCTTGGAGACCCTCTGGACCGACCTATATGTGAGCAAATACAACAGATGTTTGGCGTGAGTGCACCCCGCCAGGATCCCTTGGAAAGATCGGAAAGCCAGAGAAACACTCCCAAAGGCCTTAATCCGACGGGGCTGTCGGTAGCTCTGAATAAGTAGCCACATAAGTTGCAACGGAAAGCCCAACTCTTGGCCCTCTTGAAGCAGTGCACGAAGATCAAACATATCATAGCTTTTACTCATGTCTAATAAAAAAGGCACATGTGTGTTCCCCGAGCAACTGTGCGACCTCCTGCTGGATATTATGATCGAAGGCCGAGTCGCTGGACGTGTGACCCGCTCGCGTGCCCTACATCTGGTCGCACTGGTGGGGGAAGCTTGTCCTCTTGCCTCAGGAGGTCGTCTGGCGCGATCGCGACAGCCACCAATACGCCGACGGGCGCGTCGTCATCAACCAGAAGAAGTACATGGTCAGCCGCATGCCCGCCAGCCAGATCCGCGAGGGCGGCTTCTTGACGGCGGCAGACCGCACCGAGATGAGGAGATGTATCGAGAATAGCCGGTCGCCAGCCGGGATCCGTCGGCCCGATGCGGCCGCGTACGTGTTGTTGTTTCAGAGTGAGGATCCCCGGATTGCCGAGGAAGAGACGCGCAAGACGATCGAACATCTTCGCCAGACCCCAGAGGTCGGCATCACCACGCAGCCCATCCGTTGGTTCCACGACACTGGGGATCCGGACGTCATCGCGGCCGCCTTCGGGGACTCGAGCTGGGCCAGCGCCCAGAACCTGAAGATCCAGACGTGTGCCATCATCGTCTGGGCTCGTCGTGGGGCTTTAGCCCGCTCCGCCTCTATTTCCACAGCCAGCTGGCGTAGCGCTCGCACGCAGCGCCAGGCTCGTTCTACCCTGGTCGCAGAGGCGTGTGCTGCCAACGTTGCCGTCGACAGTGGTTCTTACGCTATTACGTTTCTGAGCGAGGTTTTGACTGGAGTCTTACGTCGCCGCTGAGATTGGAAACAGCCGCCTGCGTGCTGCGCCGCTCTACGTCACCGCAGATTGCAATAGCTTGTATGGCTGCGTCGCCAAGGAGAAGTCGTGCCTTGACGAGCAGCCTGTTCTGCTGAACGTTTCGTCCATCTTGAACAATCCAGGAGCAGACTCGAGGCGGTGGACTCCGACTAGCAGCATGTGAGCCGCCACCCCAGCAAGATTTCAGGTACTTTGCGCGAGACCTTCGTCCAGCCAGCCATTCAGCGATTTGTAAAGGCACTGGGCGAGTTTCCAGGCAACTAGAGAGGTGCCAGTCTGAAACGGGTATCGTTTTACTTTCTGTGCCTTACCTGTCAGCTCGCGTATTTGTGTTCTCCTGCTTTTGCTTGTGTTGTTCATCTCCCGTCTCGGGCAACCGTTTCGGGCTCAATCCTCAGTCTTGAGGGGCCCCTCTCGCAGAAGGGCCCCGCTCAGTCTTTAGGGCCCTCTCTTGCAGAGCCGCCAGCAGCCGCCAGTAGCCGCCAGCAGCGACACTCGCTACGATAACTAAGTATCATCTTCCCATACACGTACATCATCAGCACATCATTCCCAACGATAATCCTGACGAGGGCGAGCGCCCGATTTTCTTCCCCGCCAGGAGCCACATTATACGAGGGAGAATTGTTTACTTTCTTGCCCGTGGCCACGCTCCGCCCGCGGTGAGAAAAGTTCACTCGCATCGGGATTGTTATCTTCATCGTCGTCATCATCATCAGCATCGTTGTCATCGGCATCATCACCATCATCGTCACGTCATTGCCACTGTCAGTACCGTCGTCCATTAACACCCACACACCACCACCACACAACGCACAATCCAGTCAACGCACATACCACACAATACACCCCAACGCACAAATACCCACATTCACATATATGCATTTCTATATGTAGATAGATGTGTATATCGGTATGTTGATATATGTATATATATACGTACACGACACAAACCTGACCCACACCACCACCCACACGAAACACAAAGGGTACGCACACCGCTCGCCCCTCTCCCCCGCCCGCCATGCACACACCCCGTGCGCGCACAGTGTGCGCGCCCCCGCCCGCCCGCCAGGCACACACGTATGCACACCGTGCACCTCCCCCACCCCCCCCCTACACGCCCCGCACGCACGCCGTGCCCCCTCTCCCCTCCCTTCGCACAGACGCGCGCACACAAACGCATGCACGCACGCGGCCGCACGCGCAAACACACGCACACGCGCAGGGCGCAGCCTCTAGCACGGCGGCTCCAAAGCCAGCTCGTGGGCGCCGCAGCGCCGCGAGCCTGCGTTGTCAGAGACTGGCGCGGCGACTGACACCCTTACCCTCATAGTATCCGCAGCACCGAACACGCACATACACGCACACGCGCATGCACTCCTCATGCACATACTCACACGCACGTCACAGACCACGCGCAACAGTTGACCAAAGCAACCACAGGCAACCACTCAACCGCCCGCCAGGCACACACCCCGTACGCACACCGTACAAGCACCTCCGCCCGCCCGCCAGGCACACCGCGCGCACATCGTGAGCCCCCCCCCCGCCCGGCCCGCTCCGCACGCACCCTGCACGCATGCCGCACCCCCCCTCCCGCCCCCTCGGCATATTCGTACAGGCGCTCGCACAAACGGGCACACACGCACATGGCCGCACACACAGGCATACACACGCACACGCGCGGGGCGCAGCCTCCAGCACTGCGGCTCCAGAGAGATCTCGAAGCGCCGCAGCGCCGCGAGCCTGCGTTCCCAGAGACTGGTGCGGCGACTGACACCCCAGCCCTCGTAGTACCCAAAGCACCCAAAACACACTCACACGCGCACGCACACATGTACATATTGCGTGCACAGATCACGCGCAACACCTGCCCAAAGCAATTGTAGACAACCGTTAAACACAAGCTACCAATTTCAACCATCTTGCATTTAGGGGAGCCTAGCGACTGAACCCCATCTGCACACATGCGTGGTGGGTGTAAATCCATGCGCGTGTGCGCACGCAAGCTCAGAGAACCAGCGCTTCCCGTTCTTGACCGGATCGGTTTCTGACCAATGGCCATTTTGTTAGGGACATCCTCAAACAAAGAGCTACGGAGGGGGTTCCGAGTCAACATGGTCTTGCCACCGTGGCCCAAAAGAGCTCCAAAAGGCCCACCCGGAGGACCCCAAGAGGGCCCCACAAGGCCCCCCAAAGAGCCCCAGGAACCCCCCAAACGGCCAAGATAGCCCAAGATGGCGCCAAGACGGCCTGAGAGAGCCCCCAAGACAGCCCAAGAGGACCCGAAGACACGCCCAAGACGGCCTGAGAGAACCCGAAGACACGCCAAGACAGCCCAAGAGGACCCCAGAAGCCCCCAAGAGGATCCCGACGAGCCCCCAACAGGCCCCCAGGATACCCCAAGATAGCCCCAGATGACCCCGATAGCCCCAAGGGTAGCCTCAAGAGATCACGAGGACCCCCCCTTCTCCGACGTCCTTACCCTCGGGCTCCTTACCGTCCTCCTTCGTCGTCGTCGTCCTTCGCCTCCTCCTCCTTGTCCTCCTCCTCCTCCTCCTCCTCCGCTTGTTCCTCCTCGTACTCGTCGTCCTCTATCTGTTTCTCCTCGTCCGCGTGCTTGTCTTCCTACTTGTCGTCCTCCTGCTCGCATCGCTGCCCTCCCCGTCATCCATGCTGTCACCCTCGTCCTTCCTCCAGTGAAGGGCGCGGGGTCGTCGTAAGCTGGCCGCGGATTGGCCGCGAACGCGCAAGTCACTAGCGTATGGCCTCCTTGCGGCCTCGCCGTCGTGGTGAGGCCGTTATGGGGCTACCCACCCGAATCCTTCATTTCTATGGGTGGAGAGACATCAGCAGGGCAGCGGTCGAAACAAAATACATATGGGAGTTGGTACTCGTGACCGGCTACGTGCTGGTTAGGCCCCGCATTGACGGGAGTGCGAGCAAACCAGTGTTCGTGTCCCTTCCTATCTCCTCCTCAGCACCATCCTGCCTGGCTGGGCTGGGTGGCTGGCAGCCAGAGGAGGATGCGCGACGGGGAGGAGCGAAGATGTTAAAAGGAAGTGAAGGTGGATGAGGAGCTGGAGGTGGATACAGTGGGTGATGGTGGTGACGATGATATTATGATGCCACTACTGCTGATGATGCTGATGATGATTACGATGAGGATTGTGCTTATGGTGGTGGTAATATCGATGATAACGGTGATGGTGACGATGATGCTGCTGCTGCTGTTCCTGACGACGATGATGATGATGCTGTTGATGATGACGACAATGACGATGACCATGACGATGACGATAATGAGGATGACGACAATGACGATGACCATGACGATGACGACGACGACGACGATGATGATGATGCTGATGATGATGATGATGATGATGCACGTGACGGTGGCGGTGGTGGTAGTGATGATGGTGACGGTAATGGTGATTGTGATGGTGATGGTGGTGGTGCTTAGGATGGTGATGATGATGTGACGGTGATGGTGATTGTGATGTGATGGTTATGGTCATGATGATGATGATGATGATGATGATGATGATGATGATGATGATTGTGATGATTGTGATGATGATGATGATGATGATGATGATGATGATGACGATGCTGATGATGATGGTGATGGTGATGATGATCATGATCTTGATCATGACGGTAGTGGTGGTGGTAGTGATTTTGGTGATGGTGATGGTGATGATGACAGCGATGGTGATTGTGGTGATGGTGATGGTGATGGTGGTGATGATGATGATGATGCTGCTGATGATGATGCTGCTGATGACGATGACAATGACGATGACGATGATGATGATGATGATGATGATGATGATGATGATGATGATGATGATGATGAGGATGAGGATGATGATGATGATGATCATCATGACGGCGGTGGTGGTGGTGGTGGTAGTGATGATGGTGATGGTGATGGTGCTGGTGATGTTGCTTGTGGTGGTGACGGTGATGGTGATGGTGATGGTGATGGTGATTGTGATGGTGATGGTGATGGTGATGCGATGATGATGATGATGATGATGATGATGATGATGATGATGATGATGATGATGATGATGATGTTGTTGATGATGATGATGATGAGGTGATGATGATGATGACGATGATGATGAGGATGATGATGAGATGATGATATGATGATGATGATGTGTGATGGTGGTGACGATGATGATTGATGATGATGAATGCGTATGATGATGATGATGATGATGATGATTGATGATGATGATGATATATATGATGATGATGATGATGAATGATGATGATGATAATGATAAGGATGATAATCCACATATCCCACCATGATGAGATATGGAGCAGGAGGAGGATGAGGAGGGCAGGAGGAGGAGGAGGAGGAGGAGGAGGAGGAGGAGGAGGAGGAGGAGGAGGAGGAGGAGGAGGAGGAGCAGGAGGACGAGGAGGAGGAGGAGGAGGACGCGGATGCGAACGAGGGCTGTCGGCTGGCCGGCACGCAGGTTTACTCCCACAGCGCGCTCGATGGCATCCCATCCGACCTGGCCTCCGCGGCACGCCCGTCGCCCGCCGGGGCGCCCAGGGGTGGCCGCGGTGCGCCCTGAAGGGGAGTGTGGCAGGCGACGACGTCGACGGCGCCGTCGTTTTTTCCCGGAAAGGGCGCGGGCCCAGGGTTCTCGGGGGCGGAAAAGAGGGGGGTGATGACTAGGGGGTGGGGGTGGATATCATGGCGTGGGCCATGATATTTCCCCAGATCTCATGGCGCCCCTTCTTATTTCATTACGTCCCTGGCCCCCCCGCTGGGCCGCGCACATGCCGCCGGTCATGATTTGTACCCCCCCCTCTTGGACACCCCCCTCTTGGCCGCTCCCGATTAGTTGGTTTACCCCCGGTTTCGACGGCTGTAGGGCCGGCGGAATTATCATGCCATAAGTAACGAGGCCGCCCAGGGCCGGCGGAACTATTTTTGAGGATGTCTCGAGCGAAACACTTTTTTTTCAGAATTTGTTGAGGACGTCTCGGGCGAAACGCTTGTTTTGTGTTATAGATTGTCCTCTTCTGGGGACCAGAATTCAGAGGATCTCTCAAGAGAAATGCTTGTTTTCACTTGCCCAGGTCTTGAGGATGTCTCGAGCGAGACGCTTGGTTTCACGCCTCCAGGTTGCCCA